TATATATATATATATATATATATATATATATATATATATATATATATATATATATATATATATATATATATATTATACATATATACATACAGTGTGGTGAGGGCGTAGGGGAGAGGTTGACGCTTTCTCTTAAGATTTACAATTTGGTCAGTTTCCTAATTGATTTTACAGCCCTGAGCGGCCCGTTTATGTTCTTACTACGGGCTCGTCGTAACCCCCCTCCCATAACCCCCTCCCATAACCCCCTCCCATAACCCCCTCCCATAACCCCCTCCCATAACCCCCTCCCATAACCCCCTCCCATAACCCCCTCCCATAACCCCCTTCCCATTACCCCCTCCCTACTACTCCTGACCATCCTCCTAAAATGGTAGTACTTTATAGTAACCATTTGGTGGAAAGTCCCAATATGTAGTGATGGTCCGCCTGAAAGTCGACTTTTCTAGTACTGAACTTGGACAGACCGGGATATTTTTTTTTTTTTTGTTTCAGCTCAACATAACTATAAAACCTAATCTCTCCTAGCACTCCTAGGCCTAATTCACGCTATCTTAGGCCTGGTGTGGTGCGTATTTGTGCTATATTAGGCCTGGGAATATTTAAGTTTCGTTTGTTGTATTTTGTCCGGACTATGAAGTTAATATTCAAAGGATGGTGTTCTGGTGGACCGTCATTATATGTTGGTACTTTTCACCATACCGTCATTATATGTTGGTACTTTCCACCATACCGTCATTATATGTTGGTACTTTTCACCATACCGTCATTATATGTTGGTACTTTTCACCACACCGTCATTATATGTTGGTACTTTCCACCATACCGTCATTATATGTTGGTACTTTTCACCATACCGTCATTATATGTTGGTACTTTCCACCATACCGTCATTATATGTTGGTACTTTTCACCATACCGTCATTATATGTTGGTACTTTCCACCATACCGTCATTATATGTTGGTACTTTTCACCATACCGTCATTATATGTTGGTACTTTTCACCACACCGTCATTATATGTTGGTACTTTCCACCATACCGTCATTATATGTTGGTACTTTTCACCATACCGTCATTATATGTTGGTACTTTTCACCACACCGTCATTATATGTTGGTACTTTTCACCACACCGTCATTATATGTTGGTACTTTTCACCACACCGTCATTATATGTTGGTACTTTTCACCACACCGTCATTATATGTTGGTACTTTTCACCACACCGTCATTATATGTTGGTACTTTTCACCACACCGTCATTATATGTTGGTACTTTTCACCATACCGTCATTATATGTTGGTACTTTTCACCACACCGTCATTATATGTTGGTACTTTCCACCATACCGTCACTATATATTGGTACTTTCCACCATACCGTCACTATAAGTACTTTCATTTCAGGGTGATAGGTTGCCTACTCTCATTATATCTCTTCCAACCTATCATTCCCCCTCCCTCAAATGCACCCATTCCCCCTTTCTTTTCTTAAAGGACCTTCAAAACCCTCCTCCCCCACTACACCTCAACCCCCTTTCCCCCCTACACTCTGCCTCAACACCCTTTCTAACCCACACACACACACCCAAACCCACTCACACAACCCCCAAACCCTCAACCGTCTAACGCAATCCTATACCCCCATCCTCTCTACCATGTTTCTTGCCTCTATATCTTATGCTAGCTTGTCTGTCACTACCCCCCCCCCCCCTCTCCTTCCCCCCCTCCTCCTCCTTCCATCCTACTATCTCTGTCACTCGTCTTCTCCTTCTCCTCTTCCCTCTCTGTCTCTTCTCTCCCCATCTCTGTCATCCTTCCCTCTCCCCGTCTCCCTGTGTATGTGTACGGGAGAAGGAGTGGACAGGTGCCTCCAGACCTTTGAAACCTAACCTACAGAGGTCAACGTCAATGGGGGGGGGGGAGGACATCTGTGTAACAGACGTTCTCTGGGTCACGATGTTTACGTGAGCGCTAGGCCGGGGTTCGAGGCTCCCTCATTTGCATACGTGGGACAACCAGACTTATGTGAGCGCCTTGGTGTTTTTTGTCCATATAATTCTAATTCAGTGTCTTGTGTTTTTGTCGTGGCTGGCAGTGATAGTGTTGCCGTCAAAGTTGCTTTCGTAGTTCCTGGAACATGTTTTGATCTTGAGTTGTGCTGTTGTTGAGGGTATTAAAAGTATCAACACAAGACAGAACACGAAACAATGGGTATAAATTGGATAAGTTTAGATTTAGGAAAGACTTGGGTAAATACTGGTTCGGTAACAGGGTTGTTGATTTGTGGAACCAATTACCACGTAACGTGGTGGAGGTGTGGTCCCTCGATTGTTTCAAGCGCGGGTTGGACATGTATATGAGTGGGATTGGGTGGTTATAGATAGGAGCTGCCTCGTATGGGCCAATAGGCCTTCTGCAGTTACCTTTGTCCATATGAAGGCGATGAGTCACAATAACGTGGCTAAAGTAAGTTGACCAGACCACACACTAGAAGGTGAAGGGACGACGACGTTTCGGTCCGTCCTGGACCATTCTCAAGTCGACAATCGACTTGAGAATGGTCCAGGACGGACCGAAACGTCGTCGTCCCTTCACCTTCTAGTGTGTGGTCTGGTCAAGTTACCTTTGTTCTTGTGTTCTTGAAGCTCGCAACACTGCTTTTGTTGTTCAATGGGGGATATTATTGCTGTTTTTTAAAGTTTTTAATGGTAAGGAATTATCAAAAGAAGGCGCCAAGCCGGGAAGGCTATGTACCCATCAAACACACACCGAAACTACGACGTTGGTACAACGTTCGAACAAGTTTTAACACCTAACCAGTTATAACAACCAATATAGCAAGTTGTAACAACGTTCTAATACGTCATAAACACGTTAAGCCAAGATGTAACAACTTTATTACAAGTTGTAACAACGTTCTAATACGTCATAAACACGTTAAGCCAAGATGTAACAACTTTATTACAAGTTGTAACAACGTTCTAATACGTCATAAACACGTTAAGCCAAGATGTAACAACTTTATTACAAGTTGTAACAAGCGGAAAATGGAGACAGTTTCGGTTTGTGTTTCCAGGGTAACACCGAGGTTGTAATGCTGTTGTTATTGCTTTTGTTGTTTTTACTGCTGTTGTAATTAAGGTTCTTTGTTTCCTTTTTTGTGCGTTTTCTTTGTGTTCTTTTTTTTCTTGTACTTGTTTATGTTTCTTTTTTCCTTGTCTTATACTGTTTGTCAATGGCAAGTGATGTTATGTATTGTTATGTATTAATCTTAGTGAGGTATAAGTTCTCTCAAGGCACACTTCTGTCTCTTTACCTCATTGTCTATCACATTGTCTATCCAATCTATAAGTTGTCTTATCTTATGTCTATCCAATCTATAAGTTGTCATATCTTATGTCTATCCAATCTATAAGTTGTCTTATCTTATGTCTATCCAATCTATTAGTTGTATTATCTTATGTCTATCCAATCTATTAGTTGTCTTATCTTATGTCTATCCAATCTATAAGTTGTCTTATCTTATGTCTATCCAATCTATAAGTTGTCTTATGTGACAGACCGGGAGCCGGTCGGCCGAGCGGACAGCACGCTGGACTTGTGATCCTGTGGTCCCGGGTTCGATCCCAGGCGCCGGCGAGAAACAATGGGCAGAGTTTCTTTCACCCTATGCCCCTGTTACCTAGCAGTAAAATAGGTACCTGGGTGTTAGTCAGCTGTCACGGGCTGCTTCCTGGGGGTGGAGGCCTGGTCGAAGACCGGGCCGCGGGGACACTAAAGCCCCGAAATCATCTCAAGATAACCTCAAGATGTCTATCCAATCTATAAGTTGTCTTATCTTATGTCTATCCAATCTATAAGTTGTCTTATCTTATGTCTATCCAATCTATAAGTTGTCTTATCTTATGTCTATCCAATCTATAAGTTGTCTTATCTTATGTCTATCCATTTCGCCATTTACCGGTATCTACCCATCTATTTGTCTCTGTCAACTTGATTATCTATCAGTTTGGTTCTCTGTTTACTAGTATATCAGTCTATATATATTATATAAATGTATCTGTCTATCGTTTTATTTGTTTTTGTTTGTCTATATTGCGTGCTCCTTTGAACTCTTTCTAATCAGGGAATAAGAGACAGACTAAGTATATTACATTTTCCAGGGATAGGTCTTGTGGTTATTTTGGGTCACGGAGCTTCGTCCCCTTTCCTTCCTTCCTTCCTTCCTTCCTTCCTTCCTTCCTTCCTTCCTTCCTTCCTTCCTTCCTTCCTTCCTTCCTTCTTTCCTTCCTTCCTTCCTTCCTTCCTTCCTTCCTTCAGCTTACACTCCTGTTAGGGTGGTATCTTCCTAATGACAGACTTAATCTAAATATGGTATATATAATATATATATATATATATATATATATATATATATATATATATATATATATATATATATATATATATACACGTTTTATATAACAATATTTATATATAACACTATTTTATATAACACTGTGAAGTCAGAAATTTTTTTTATATAATTTTTATTTGAATATTTGAAAGGAATTTTTATTTGAATTTTTTATTTCTATTTGAATTTATTTGAATTTAATTTATTTGAATTTATTTATTTGAATTGTATTTTATATAACACTGTGAAGTCAGAAAAGCTTACTTATAATCCATCAATTAATTTCCTTCTATAAGGACATGTTTAATTTTGAATAGTTATATAAGTATTCAAATGCTTTGGAAACATTAACAAAAATTTGGATTGTAAATATTCAGATCTGAAATTTACATTTTTGTGTACACAGTCTATTTTTACTATTAGTAACATAAAATACATCATAAACCAATTATTTACACTGTTTACACTAATTTGTTCATTTGTTTACCAATTATTTATTAAGAGAAATGTTCAGAATATTTATCTCTGTCATTTTGAATTGTTTATATATTAATATAGTTTTGGCATATTATGGGTAAAATAGGTTAATGAAAATATGTCATAATCCCGATCTTTTATTATCATTACTTGTAATAAATTTTAAGTTCTCTTCATCTATAATATTTATGAAAGGTGCATTGAGGGTGGTAGTTGAAGTAGTGGTGGTGGTAAGGATGGCAGTGGTGGTATTAGTAATGATAGTGGTAGAATGATGTGGCTCTAACGATCAGTGGAGTAATATTTGTGGAGGCTGGTAGTGGTTGTAGGGTGGTGGCAGCGGGGGGATTGATAATGGTCGTAGGGATAGCAATGGTGGCAGCGGGGGGATTGATAATGGTCGTAGGGATAGCAATGGTGGCAGCGGGGGGATTGAAAATGGTCGTAGGGATAGCAATGGTGGCAGCGGGGGGATTGAAAATGGTCGTAGGGATAGCAATGGTGGCAGCGGGGGGATTGATAATGGTCGTAGGGATAGCAATGGTGGCAGCGGGGGGATTGGTAATGGTCATAGGGATAGCAATGGTGGCAGCGGGGGATTGATAATGCTCGTAGGGATAGCAATGGTGGCAGCGGGGGGATTGATAATGGTTGTTGGGATAGCAATGGTGGCAGCGGGGGGATTCTTAGTGGTTGTAGGGATAGCAATGATGGTAGTGGGGGATAGTGACGTTGTGGACGTAATAGAACTGGCAGAGGTGGTGGCGATAGTGACGGTGGTGAATTAGTTGACACTGTTTGGGTGGTGGATTATAATAGTAATTATAGGTAGTAAGTGGAGGAAGGAACTGGAGTTTCAGTCGTTCCCTGCTGGTGGATGAGTGATGAGAGTCGGGGGTGATACAGGGAAGGAGACGGGATGGAGGAGGTGGCTGAAGGGTCTGAGAGAATGGATGGAGCAGTTGAGATGTTGTGTGTACAGACTCTGAAGGCTAAGAGAGGAGTAGATGAGGCACAGAAGATCCATTGCCCATTTACCAAGACACAAGAAACACGAAAGGACACACACACACACACACACACACACACACACACACACACACACACACACACACACACACACACACACACACACACACACACTCACACTCACGCACAAACACAAGCCTCCCATCAAACATACCTACAAACCATTTCAATAAAAGCTAATCTAGGTGCATGTTACCTGAGTTACACAGATATATATAATGTAAATAAGATCGTGGATTTGCCATTAAGTCCACTTGGCTTTACTTAGCACTCACTGTTTCAGAAAGGCACACACTATATTGAAGCGATGGAACGTTTAGGAAGACATATAGAACATCTTAATCTTGTAATTGGCAGTTAAGAGGATATAAAGGCCTTGTTCAGTTCCGGAAGACACCTCAACTATTGCAAATTTAATTTATAAGGCACTTGTAAAGTTGTCTGTGAACTTAAACATTTGATAAGGCACTTGTAAAAGTTGCAAAGACACTTGGGAAGACATAGTCACTTTAAGGCACATTTATAATTGCATTTGTACATTCTAGCATGTCCACTCCACACATGCTCTCTCTCTCTCTCTCTCTCTCTCTCTCTCTCTCTCTCTCTCTCTCTCTCTCTCTCTCTCTCTCTCTCTCTCTCTCTCTCTCTCTCTCTCTCAAGATGAAGACAGTTTAAGGTAGAGGGCAAAAGGAACAAACAGCCACGAACCCTACACCACCACCATCATTCGTAGAGGAATGATAATAATAATAATAATAATGAAGTGTGGAACATCTAAACTGGTGAGAAAAACATTATGTTGTCTAGTCAACTCATCAAGGGGATCTATTCTAACCACTAGTACTGTGTAATTGTTCTATACGAATATATTAATAAATTCTCTGTACAAAAATTCATTAGCTAACAACAGCATGTACAAAAATGTTGATGAGACTCGAATGCGGGAGAAAATAAAATAAAAAAATACATTACTGCAATACAATAATCATTCTCAAGATCAACCGAAGCACATCAACCAATGACGTCAGCATGATCTGTGACGTCGCGAAACCAATGACGTCACGAGATCGACGCTGTCGTTACATCACAGCACACGTCATCACAATGACGTCATGACTCAGGATATCGACAAAAGGTTGACTTTTAGTGCTATTAAAGGCAAGACAATTCAGAACTAGCGCTATAGTTTATTTTGCACTCTTAATCTACTTGGCATGATTTATTCCATATTAAATTGGTTTATTCTCTATTATGCACGGAGATAACTGAATCCAAAAAGACGACGGTTCGAGCCCACAGCCCTACCCCAGAGATTTTCTCATACATTTAATCATATTATTGTGTGTGTGTATACCAGAGTTTACAGTCTACCTGGAAACAGACACTGGGTCAAGGTATACACATTCCTGAACTTGAATCAGATCCAAAATACCATTATAATTTCAATAGTCAGATCGGAAGTGTTTAAATCAGGGGGTCGCCACAAGACTGTCACGGGATACGGCCAAATATGACTCTAAAGACTGATAAGAGCTCTTAGAGATCTCTAGAGCAACGTTCTACAGAGGCGTCCCGTCTCCTGTGGAAGCTGGGGGACAGGAGAGTGAGGGGAGGAGATGGGAAAGAGAGCGGGAAGGAAGAAGAGTGGGAAGGGAAGGGAATATGGAAGTGTAGGAAGGAATAGGAATCAAGGGAGCATAAGAAACATAGCTACAATATGTCACTGAATCTGGTGAAATCACAAAAAATATATCGAGTTCAACATAAGAAAGCATTACAGCCTTCAATACATACATGGAATACACGGATTTTGAAGCAGGAAGATTGTAGGATGCTACACAACACGCGACTTCACAAGTACATTACAAACACAAACACACACACACACACACACACACACACACACACACACACACACACACACACACACACACACACACACACACACGAAAAATGAAATGAGCTGAGCGCATCTATATCCCACTTTGGGTCTCTCGTTAGTCTCTGAGAAGACCTCCCTAGTGGGGACCTCTGAGCTCAGATCATTTCATTTGTCTTTTGTGGTTTCTGCACTTATGAAGTCTCGTGTTGTGTGACATATATATGTGTGTGTATATATCTATATATATACATGACAGGAAGACCAGTCTGATATGTAACTCCTCGCGTAAACTCAATAAGTAAAGGCACACCTTTTGTACTTTCTAAGTTCTAAACACAAATACGCAATGGTATACGCCAGAAAACACTCGTCCACAGAGAATTATTTGTGTGTGTGTTCAGTACGATACAGTAATATGTGTAGTTCCAGCTGAGGTAGTTCCAGCCGGAGTTCCAGTCCCGGCTGAGGTAGTTCCAGCCGGAGTTCCAGTCTCGGCTGAGGTAGTTCCAGCTGTTATTGCGTCTCTCTTGCGTCCATCTGTCATTGCGTCTTAGGAATGCTTCCAGGCGACTTGTGTTTTGAAGCAATTATCAAGATCTTGCCAACACTCTCAGTCATACCGAACATTTATGAACATTTTTTTGTGTTGTTTATTGATTTTAATTGATTTTGTTTTAGTATAGGAAAACAGATGGGATTGGGGGTCTCTAATTGTCGTTTGGGGGTCAATATTATTGGGGAGAGGGGGTCATCACTTTGAAACGTCTTAGGTATCAATACCGGGATAGTAATCACTATAATAAGTTTAATACGTCTGTATGTCCGTATGCTACTATAATTCATTTCTGACGACGTAAGTTTACAAGGAATATAGTCACACGCGCGCGCATGCACACACACACACACACACACACACACACACACACACACGAGTTTGTAACCCACAAGATTTCGTCTAACTTTAAGTCAAATAACAGAAAACGAGAATAGTTTGGCTTTGGTTCTGGCTTATCAACAACACTGTGGTTTGTCCTTCACGAGTCTCTCCTGCTGGTGGCGACGACGTGTCGGCGGCGGCGCGGCAGAATTAGCCATATACGCGTCTTAAATCTTGATCTTGAAGGGTCGCCGGTTCATGCTGCCGTCGGAGAAGGGGGGTTCCTCGTAGCGCCTCTCGCAGGCCACTGGAGGAAGAGGTAATGGCGCCTACGAGTGCTCGTAGTACAGTTCCCGGACATCGGCGAGGGCGGAGAGCAGACTCGAAGTGTTCGTGTCAGACTTGGAGGCGTTGGGCTCCGGAGACGGGTGTGGCGCGTCCTTAGACTTGGTCTCGCCTTCACCTTCAGAGCCTCCTCCGGGACCTCCTGCGCCTCCACTGGCACACGAGTCCTCGGGCTCATCTTTGATCAACGCCACGAACTGGGAGGACTGGTAGTGTCCCCCGCCCACCTGTAAGTACCTGAGGAAGAGGCAGAAGGCAGTGGGTTAGCGCCTGGTACAGGTTAAGTGTGACTTAAACCTCATTATAGTTATGCAGCCCCGTTCTCAGGGTGAAGTGATTACATGGAGACGCCAACCTCCCTCTCACGCCACCTGGATAGTTACTAAGATATTCGTGACGGTCTGGAAGCCTATTTCAGTTCCAATAATAGTCTACTTGTAAACTGGCAAGTGAACCATTGTCTTAAACTGACAATATTTTCATGTTGTAGTTTCAATCGATAGTTTAAAAGAAATGTATGATAAATTAGTTTTCTGTGATATGATGTAAGGCCTAGGTTTTCCTTAATGTAAAGTTTTATGAGAAACTCAAAAAGTTTTTGACTTTCATATTTTACAGGTTTAAAAATAATACACTGTTTTAACCTAACCTAACCAACCTAACTCTACCCTAATGTTAACCTAACGTAACCATGGATAGGGAGTAGATAATAGAGCTAATCACATAGTAGTTTTGAAGTTATTATCTTGAGGGTACAAACACCCAGGGGACAGGTTGACTATATGTGGTCAAATTTGAACATAATGAACATCTATACTTCTGCCTTCGTTTATTTCCCTTTTCTTTCAACTTTTCACTTTCTACACCCCTCCCCCTCCCCCGTTCCTTTAGTACCTCTGCTCTCTAAACCTCTTTCCTCCCTTTTCTCTCTCTTTCTCTCCCTGTTCCAAGACGAGTTCCAGTGCCACGCGCCTTGCAAGCAATTTTGTCTGGGTTCGATACGAGACCAGTGAGGATTGACTGGGTACAGTTCACATAGGAAGCTTTAAGCCTGCTAACAGAAATCAGAATCCGAGACCAAACTGAGAATACTGATATATATATATATATATATATATATATATATATATATATATATATATATATATATATATATATATATATATATATCCATTGCCTCCATGCCGTTGTGTCTGGTGTGAGGTTACCTGGGGTTGGCGGGCGGGGTGTAGGTGAAGGAGGCGCTGACGGCCGCTACTCGTTCCGGTCCTTTCAGGTAGCGGTCGAACTCGGAGCGGTCTACGTCGTCGAAGATCTCGCCCTCGCTACCGACGGGGATGCTGCCTATGGGGACGGTGCCCACAGGGACGCCACCGCCGCCTCCGTCACCGCCCACCTCGCCCCTGGGACCTGAGGGAGAGACAAACGAGGTCCTGAGAGGCGCAAAGTGGTTATCACAAGTCGATCTAGAGTGTCCGTTCCATATAAGTCACCTGAATATTGGGATTTCCTCTTTCGTAACAAGCTATAAGCCGCTCGGAGCGTAGTTGATGGACTCAGATTAGTCATGAAAGATTAGTGATTGATGAAGATTAAGCCACCCAAGAGGTGGCACGGACATCAATAGCCCGTAAGCGGTTATTAAAATTGATTCAGGGAAATATAGTGTGGAGAGTGAGGTGCTTATACTTACTGCTGTAGGGAGGGTGGGCGAAGGCCGGATGGTGGGTGTAGCCCTGAGGGTCGTACTGGGACGGGTAGTAGCCGTCAGTCCCGGTTATGTAGTCGTGGCAGTCGTAAGCGGCTGGCGAATACGTAGCCCCGGTATAGAAGCCCGGGTAGCCCTGCTGACTCTGGGAGAAGTAGTGCAGCAGCTTCGATGCAGCGTTGGGTGCTTCTAGGTGGTGGTGGTGGTGGTGCTGCTGCTGTTGGTGGTGGTGGTGCTGCTGCTGCTGGTGCTGCTGCTGCTGGTGGTGGTGGTGAAGGTGATGTTGCGGCGTCGCCTGCTGCTCCGCCTGGTGGTGTAGGCTGGTAGGGGTGTGTAGGCGGTCGTGGTCGTGGGGGGAGGCTTCCGGAGGGGTGGGAAGAGCGGCGAGGGTGCAGGGGGGAAGGGGCGGTCCCTGAGGGGGCGGGGGAGGCCAGGCGGGCTCGGGGGAGCAGGTGGGGGAGGCATCCGGTGTGTGCAGTGCCAACACGGGTGCCTGGTAGGACGAGGGTGCCACAGAGGAAGCATTTCCGCTGCTTGGATTACTGCTGCTGTGAGTGTTGGTCAGCGGTGCCGTCAGCGTCGCCTGCAAGAAGCCGCCAGGAATCATGGCTCCCTCTTTTTTGATCTGGGTGTTGGTGGAAGAGGAAGGGACGGTGGTGGTGGTGGTGGTGGTAGTGGAACAGGAAGACGCTGATGGAAGGGGCGCCGCCCCTGGGGACGCCGTCGACCCACCGGGTTTCTTAGGCTGCTGCGGCTTGCGGCGCCGCGGGCGGTACTTGTAGTCCGGGTGCTCGGCCATGTGCTTGAGCCGCAGCCTCTCCGCCTCCTCCACGTATGGGCGGCGCTCCGTGGGCGTGAGGGCGCGCCACTTCTTGCCTGTCATGAGAGAGAGGAACACCAGGATGAGTTGAAACAGTCATTAGAGGACAGAAGGTGACAATAGACAGAGCAGACTGTGTTTATTCTAAGGGTGCGCCTCCATGTGTGTGCGTGTGTATGCGTGTGTGTGTGTGTGTGTGTGTGTGTGTGTGTGTGTGTGTGTATGTGCTTGGGCGCGTGCACGGGTGTGGGTCCTGATCCAGGAGGATTCATCAAACATTTAAGTTTCCTCTTACGAAACCTGTTCATCTTTCCTCGACCGTGGCGATTTAGTCTACAGCTATTAAACAGCTGACGAGCGCGGAAACAACGGAACCTAGCGCTTCGGAGCTCAGAAACTCTTCAGTAGAATATAAGCTGCTATGACTGAGGACAGATGTAGAGGTTTCGTAAGCGCTTGACGACGACTCCCGGCCTGGATGCGCTCCTGCCCAACTCTGGTGTGTTTTAGAGTCTCCAGTGGGTGTATTGGTTTGAGTTAGGGGGCCTAATACACTAGACTTACGTTGTAAAGTGTACTGTGAATGTGTGTCACACTGCCCATGTACCGTACTCGGTCCATTTATCACCTTGTACCGTACTCGGTCCATCTATCACCCTGTACCATAGGTCACACTGCCCATGTACCGTACTCGGTCCATCTATCACCCTGTACCATAGGTCACACTGCCCATGTACCGTACTCGGTCCATCTATCACCCTGTACCATAGGTCACACTGCCCATGTACCGTACTCGGTCCATCTATCACCCTGTACCATAGGTCACACTGTACCCAAGCGGTACCTTAACTTATTCTTATGTTCTTTTGTAATGCAAATAAATTAGGCTTAGGCAAATAAATTTAGGCAAACATTTTGTTGTTTTCATATGTATTTTTTTTGAGGGGGAGGGGGTTTAATCGCCCAAGTGGAGCGGTACATATTTTCTACATATGTACCGGAGGTCTTGTACATATGTACATATGAGGTCTTGCTGGAGGATAGCTTAAATTCTATCGTTCGTTTTTTACCACTAGCTCATTTTTTCTTCAGTCTTAGATGATGTTTTGTAACTTTTTCAGAGACTTGGTTCTGTTTCCCTGTACAGTTTCAGAGGTTTTGTTTTTTAACTGGAAAGGAGAAGAAATTATGAGGTGAGAGAAATTATGAGTATGACCACATATAGCATTCGGAATGGGTACGAGGAAAAGGAATTGGGGCATGAGGACAGAGGGAAAGAACGGTGTCCAAATACTAGGACCATTGGGGGATCGAACGCTGACCAAGAAGGAAGAGAGAGAGAGTCGTTCTACCGATAAGGCTATAAGTGATTTTTTTTTTTTAAACTGAATACAAAACGCGCGCAGACGAAATATGGGGGAAAAATAATGGAGTCGTCTGGAAGGGGTATTGGACACCTCTTCCATCCTTCACCCTCCTATCTTGGCTGGACATCACCGCCAGGCGGGGAGTTGACGCAAGATTGGTGGCAGCGGGGGGATACGAACCCCGGGTAGGACTCAGATCTGACGGTGACAGTCTCCTCCCCCCTGAGGCTTCCTATAGCCACGTTGGGTGGTCAGAAGGTTTCGTTCTGAGGGTCAGCATCAGTCCAAGTTTTCGGTCTGAGGTTTTTTGATAAATGACCTCGGTCCCGTGATGTTCCACTCGCGCGCGCGCGCGTGTGTGCTTGTTCTTACCTAGTTGAGCTTATGCTCTTTGGACCCGCCTCTGAACCATCACTCAACTGCTGTACAGGTTCCTGAGCCTATTGGCTCAGGAACCTGTACAGCAAGTTCTAGGAACCTTCTAATATATCAACATTTAAAACTGTGTATGTAGTGTGTGTGTGTGTGTGTGTGTGTGTGTGTGTGTGTGTGTGAGGGCTCGTAGGCAGTAACTAGGTGGTACTTAATCAAAGCATGAAATTACTCCAGCTCCCCAGACCCGCCGCAGGGACTCAGCCTCCGAGCCGAAGCCAATCGAGGACACAACCAAGAACAACTTCCCTAAACTTGTTCTCACTTTAGAAAAAAAAGGCCAAACCCAGGTCCATATTTTTTTTCCTCACTGATGCTCTGTCTGGACTTACACAAGTCCATCTGTTTTTGGTCTGCTTAAAACTTCCTTTTGGTCGTGGGGACTTGTTAAGAAATTATTATGCATTATTATTATTATTATTATTATTATTATTATCCTAAAGGGCGTTACCTAACAGTGCTTTTCTAAGGTCTTAGGTCTCCCATATTCTCTCCTCACCTTCGTTACTTTACACTTGTTTGAGTTTAATTCTAACAGCCAGTTGTATGTCTTCAGCTCTTATTATCCTCAAGAGCCTTGCGGTCACAAACATCAACACGAAACAGCTTAATCCCGCTTGTTTGGAATGTTCCTTGGAGAGAGGATTATTGGAATGTTCCTTGGAGAGAGGATTGTTGAAATGTTCCTTGGAGAGAGGATTGTTGGAATGTTCCCTGGAGAGAGGATTGTTGGAAATATTCCCTGGAGAGAGGATTGTGGAAATGTTCCTTGGAGAGAGGATTGTTGAAATGTTCCTTGGAGAGAGGATTGTTGGAAATGTTCCCTGGAGAGAGGATTGTGGAAATGTTCCTTGGAGAGAGGATTGTGGGAATGTTCCTTGGAGAGAGGATTGTTGGAATGTTCCTTGGAGAGAGGATTGTGGAAATGTTCCTTGGAGAGAGAATTGTTGGAAATGTTCCTTGGAGAGAGGATTGTGGTAATCGTTCTGTCATTCTCACCAGCATGACTGGTTCTCTCTGTGACCTGGTGATGGTGGTGGTGATAGTGCTGGTAGTGGTGATGGTGGTGGTGATAGTGCTGGTAGTGGTGGTAGTCAAGGACACACACATATAAGCACACGGTATTAACGCCGGCGTGGCTCATTTCCTGACGGTGGTTCGCGGCGCGGCCCCCCACTGATGGGCCGCGTGCCTCCCCACCCTTCACGGCTCTTACCTGCTGCCCCAACCCTGCCCCACCACACACACCTGCTGCTCCAACTCTGCCCCACCACACACCTGCTGCCCCAACCCTGCCCCACCACACACACCTGCTGCCCCAGCCCTGCCCCACCACACACCTGCTGCTCCAACTCTGCCCCACCACACACCTGCTGCCCCAACCCTGCCCCACCACACACACCTGCTGCCCCAGCCCTGCCCCACCACACACCTGCTGCCCCAGCCCTGCCTATCACACAGGCTGACTCCATACACAGTTTCAAATGTAGATATGATAGAGTCCAGTAGGCTCAGGAACCTGAACAACAGTTGATTGACGGTTGAGAGGCGGGACCAAAGAGCCAGAGCTCAACCACCGCAAGCACAACTAGGTGAGTACACACCTGTGTGTGTGTGTGTGTGTGTATACTCACCTAATTGTACTCACCTAGTTTTGCTTCCGTCTTGAGCCTATCGACCAGCAATAGTTCATTGTAATGACTTCTTTCCCCCTTTTTATTTTTCTTATCATATTTACGTTTAAAAGTGTAATGTCCGATCCACTTATTTACGACTTTGAGACTGTGGAAGTTCTTTCTGACATTCCTTTGCAGTTTACAATTATGTCTCTCATTTTACTGTTTCTTAATTTGAACATTGATTCTATATATATTTGTCAATCCCCCTTTTAGTATTTTGTACTGCAGTCTTACTCGGTTCTGTGTGTGTGTGTGTGTGTGTGTGTGTGTGTGTGTGTGTGTGTGTGTGTGTGTGTGTGTGTGTGTGTGTGTGTGTGTGTGTGTGTATTTACTATTCGTATTTACTATTTGTATATGCAGAATCAAGCTATTAGCTTTTGGACTCTGCCTTTCTAACCAATTTATTTGTCCTCTATTATGTCAACTACATATATTTCCCCTACACACACACACACATACACTCACACTCACACACACATACACACATCCCTAGGAAGCAGCCCGTAGCAGCGATCTAACTCCCAGATATCTATTTATTGCTAGGTGAATAGGTGCACCAGGGTGAAAGAAACTCTGCCTATTTGTTTCTGCCTCTGCTGCGGATCGAACCCGGACCCTTAGGACTACGACCCCATAGCGCTCTCCACTCAGCCACGAGGCCCCCCTCCCGCCTCCCCCGTGAAGTGTATGTGTACTCGCCTCTGTGTGCCTGCAGGATTGAGCTTCAGCTCTTGGACCCTGCTTTTGTAGCTGCCGGTTGTCTAATTGCTGGCTAACTGTTCAGTGGCTCCTGCTTGTGTCCGCTGCATATTGGGACTGCGTTAGCTGTCTTCTAACTCTCTGGTAAATCATCTGTTTTCCTGTGACCTGTTATACACCATAGAGTGTATGGTGTATACACGTATAGAGTGTCTGCATCCTCTTTTAGTATCCATGGTAAGATTGTCAGACCCAACAGCCTTCGTTGGGCCTGACAGCCAGCTCCAGCAATTGCTTCTTGACCTCATCTCTCATAATTTCACATCCTTCCAAGGCTGCTTGGTTTATCGCCATCTCTCTCAGCTTGGAGACTTCTCCTTGCTCTATAGTGAAGACTTCTTAGAATATCTTGTTAAATTCTTCACACACAACTCCTTGTCATTCTCTGTATATCTGTCCTCCCCATTTCTAAATTTCACCAAATCTTTCACTGTTGTTTTCCTCCTGATGTGGCTGTGGAGAAGTTTTAGTTGGGTCTTGGCTTTACTTGCTATGTCGTTTTCATTCTGCCTCTCTGCTTCTCTCCTCACTCTGAGGTACTCATTCCTGGCCCTCTGGTATCTCCCTCTGCTCTCTGGTGTTCGGTTAAATATTTCTGTAGTTTCTCCGTGTCCTTGTACCTAATTGCCTTGCTTCCTTACATGCCTGATTGAACCGCGGATTCCTTTCTCTCTGTGTGTGTGTGTGTGTGTGTGTGTGTGTGTGTGTGTGTGTGTGTGTGTGTGTGTGTGTGTGTGTGTGTGTGTGTGAGGCAAGGTTAAAGAAACAAAAATAACATTACAGTGTTTCCCGTTGTGGGAGTTTGGAGCCTTGAGTCACAGCAGAGTTTCCAAAACGTTTCCTGACGAACGTGGTGAATTCG